TGGAAAGAGAGGCCAAAAAAATGCACCTCTCAATTAATCAGAGTAAGACAAAGTATATGCAATGTATCAACTATACCGATACCTCCACGCACATCGAGATTGGAGAGTATAAATTTGAAAAGGTGAGCTCTTTCACCTACCTTGGCTCTGAAATCAACTCCGAAAACTCAATTTCCACAGAAGTAAGGAAGAGAGTAACTGCAGCCAACAAGTGCTTTTATGGCATAAGAAAATTCCTTAAATCTGACAACATTAAAAGAGACACCAAGTTGCTAATATATAAAAGCCTAATAAGATCAGTTCTCACTTACGCATCTGAAACCTGGACCTTGTCCCAAGCTGATGAGAGGACCATCGCTGCTTTCGAGAGGAAATATATATGCTTGTAGGCGGAATGGTGGTAGGTAGGTACTTTATATACGTCGCAGTAGAGCTGCGCAATGGGCTACTGGCGACGGTCTGGGAAATATCCCTGAGAATGATCCAAAGACATGCCATCACAATTTTGATCCTCTGCAGAGGGGATGGCTTCCCTGCTTTAGTAACCCGATGACCTGGGAGCGAAGTCAAGCAGTTTAACGAGGACCAATACCACACACCCTCGGTGCCTACGCAGGCTAATCAAAGTGGTCATCCACCCGCTTTCTGACCGCAGACAGTGATGCTTGACTTCGGTGTTATACTGGGAACCGTGTCCTTACTATTAGTCCACTGCGGGACGCAAGGTGGGAAGAAAATGTTTATTTTTTTTTAGTTGCAGATGAATTTTGTTTTATTAGTATATTAACAGTTATCTGAACTTCGTCTAATTATTCATTTGTTTCAAGTTCCATTAATTCAATGAAAAAAATATTTTTAAATTCCTTTTATAAATTGTTTTCTACATTTTTTCAAATGTTGCGTAATGAGTTGGGGCAGGGAAGCAATGCCATTAAAACGTAATCATTGTTACTGATAGCTTGGTGATTAATTTCACAAATGTCCTATTTTCACAAGAATTCGATAAAATATGTTACTTTGGAAATGCATTGTTTGAATACTAATTGTTATAAACAATTGTGGAAACATTTTTTACCCATTGTACATTCGAAAAAATGTGCTCTTCTAAGTGCAGTTGTTATGAAATATCGATAGCGCGAATAAAGTAAAAGTATTTAACATAATTGTTTCTAAAGAAAATAAATTTCAATAACAATCAACAGATGTAATGTGTCAAAGGATTTCAAATGTTATGAGTGGCGGCATTGTTATCAGCAAGTGTTTCAAGTTCTGTTGCAGAATTTGTTTTATTTATGCCATAAATATAGTTTTTGCTTTTATTTTTAAACCATTCTCGTGCGCAGTATGCATTTCTATTTATTCAACACTAATCTTTCTAATTTGAAGATTCCTAAGACAGTTAAATCAAACAGAAAATTGCGCTTAAGACAGTGGAGCAAGGAATTGAATTCCTCAAAAAACAGTTTATTTATCTAATAAGACTAAAAACGTGCAGTTTTCCTTAGGAAATAGTCTTTAAGCTTAATTTCCTAAAAGAGAAAGAAAGTGTTTGACATTAACTCCTTTTTAGAATTACCTCAATAATGATTCGTCAGATTTTGAAGACGCCATTTTTCTCAGTGCGCATAGATTTTTAACATATTGTTTACAAGGGTTTTTAATATGTATATAAAAGATTGTCATCATTTTGCGTAATATGGTTCAGTGCTTGTTAATTGTTTTACATAAGTAAAATTTTCGAAAAAAAATTACATATGCAAATAATGTGCTGTACTTTTCAATCAGGATTGGAAAATTTTTCAATGTTCACTACTTTTGCTAGATTTTAATAAAAGACTACGCTTGGTCTTTTAATAAATTAAGATGATACAAAACGGCACTAACTCTGAATTGAAACACCCTAAAAAAAGCCTTTCGGTCGTCAGCCTAATACTCAAAAGCGACCTATTGTTATTATTTATAACAGCAACAAAATATAGTCACTATATTAAAAGCTTTCAATACTGATTACTTTACACTTACAATTTCAATACTGTTATTATATTATGTGTAAGTACAAGTTTCAATATGTGTGTGTATTAGGTGTCTACATATTTGGTGATTCTTAATTATCTGTTTCTCTTTGTGTTTACTTTAATAAATTTATTGTGTATTTCTCTTCTTAATCACCGGGGCAGGATATTCCTCTTGGTGCTTATTAAATTTACTCTTGAAAAAAAACACTTCCATTGACAAGATAAAAAACATTCCTTAAATGGAGTGATTTCTTATTTATGGAACAGTACTCAATATTTTTACCTATTTCTCATTATTTCTTTATTGCAAAGCCCTAATCAAATTAGCTTATCCTCATGTATAAAAAGGGCTTATTCAGGGTGGCCACCCACCTGGAAAACCTTGAAAACCTGGAATTATCAGGGAATATTTTTATACTGGAAAAAACCTGGAAATATCAGGGAAATTTGGATAAAAACCTGGAAAAATCAGGGATTTTTAGAGAAAAGCTGGAAATTTTTCTTTGATGATTTTTCAAATTTCACTAATTTAAATTATTTGCTAATTTTCTTAATTTAAATTATTTCATCCATTATACCCACTTTTTTTTTAACGGAAATGTATCGCCAAACAGTTGAAATATCATCAACTTAGCGATACTTTGCTTGCATCAAAATTTGCTCCATTATAGTTCTGTTAAACTAGAATGCCATATAAAATTCTTTCACGGTTGCTAAACAATTGTGGAAACTTTTGACCGCTATGGGAATTAAGGAAAATTTAGGTAAGATTCTGGCGGAAAAAGGGATTAGGATATTAGCTTCTGTTTTTAAATTCTGTCCTTGGGCTAAATCCATTTATGGCTCAAGTTTGTTCCGATGCTTTGGTGGTTATTTTTTTTCTCTATTTTGACAAAATGTTTTTGTATTTTTTACTTCATAAAATTTTCCAAAAATTAGTTGGTTATAATTTTATGATAATAGATTTTATATCCCACTCTTTTTCTGAAAGCTTTTCTACTCCTATTCAAAGAAATCTGTGAATTATTTTTTCTGAGCAAACCAACCAATCCTTTTTATTGATTTCAAAACAGCGTATGATAGCATTAATAGAGAACTGCTTATCGACGCTCTGAGACATTTTAACATTCCTGAAAAACTTGTGAAATTAATATCCCTTACATTAAATGACACCAAATTGAGAGTCAAAATACAGGGAAACTTATCTGAACCTGTTGAAATAAGAAATGGCATAAGACAGGGCGACGCATTAGCATGCCTTCTTTTCAATCTTGCTCTTGAGAAAGTAGTAAGAGATTCAGGAATTAACACTAGAGGAACTATTTTCTCAAAATCTGTTCAAATTATGGCCTATGCTGATNTGTTTCAAAATCTATTTTCTTATATTTATCAACTGCTTTTTGAAATTATAAGTGAATATAATTAAGTATCAATATGAGCATAGCAAATATTGCGGAATGCCGTAAATGTGTATTGCGCGAGTGCTACTGATGGCTAGGTAGGCAAAGTTGGAAGGTATGTATATATATATATATATATTTATATATATATATATGAGCTTGCAGACGGAGTGCTAGTGGGTAGGTACTTTATTTACGTCGCAGTAGAGCTTCACAATGGGCTATTGGTGACGGCTTGGGAAACATCCCTCACAATTTTGATCGACATGCCATCATAATTTTGATCCTCTGCAGAGGGGATGGCTCCTCTGCTTTAGTAACCCGATGAACTGCGCGAAGTCGAGCACATTACGGTAAAACAGTTTAACGAAGACCAATACAGCACACCCTCGGTGCCTACGCAGGGTAATCAAAGTGGTCACCCACCCGCTTGCTGACTGCAGCCAGTGATACTTGACTTCGGTGTTCTACTGGGAACCGTGTCCTTACTGTAAGTTCACTGTGGGACGCAAAGAGGGAAGGAATTTTTTTTATATATATATTTGCAGATGAATTTTGTTTTATTAGTATATTAACAGTTATCTGAACCTCGTATAATTCAATTGTTTCAAGTTCTATTAATTCAAAGAAAAAAAATATTTTTAAATACATTTTATAAATTGTATTTCTGCATTTTTTCAAATGTTGCGTAATGGGTTGGGGCAGGGAAACAACGCCATTAAAACGTAATTTTTGTTACTGATAGCTTGATGATTAATTTCACAAATGTCCTATTTTCACAAGAATTCGATAAAATATGTTACTTTGGAAATGCATTGTTTGAATACTAATTGTTATAAACAATTGTGGAAACATTTTTTACCTATTGTACAGTCGAAAAAAATTTGTTCTTCTAAGTACAGTTGTTATGAAATATCGATGGCGCGAATAAGATAAAAGTATTTAACATAATTGTTTCTAAAGAAAATAAATTCCTATAACAATCAACAGATGTAATGTGTCAAAGGATTTCAAATGTTATAAGTGACGGCATTGTTATCAGCAAATGTTTCAAGTTCTGCTGCAGGATTTGTTTTATTTATTCCATAAATATAGTTTTTGCTTTTATTTTGAAACTATTCTCATGCGCAGCATGCATTTCTATTTATTCAACTCTAATCTTTCTAATTTGAAGATTCTTAAGACAGTTAAATCAAACAGAAATTTGCTCTTAAGACAGTGGAGCAAGCAATTGAATTCCTCAAAAAACAATTTATTTATCTAATAAGACTGAAAACGGGCAGTTTTTCTTAGGAAATAGTCTTTAAGCTCAATTTCCTGAAAGAGAAAAAAAGTGTTTTATATTAACTCCTTTTTTAAATTACCTCAATAATGATTCGTCAGATTTTGAAAACTCTATTTTTCTCAGTGCGCATAGTTCTTTGACATATTGTTTACAAGTGTTTTTAATATGTATATAAAAAGGGTTTATTGCTTTATTTTCGAATCAAATTGTGTGGCACTTTAAATACTGTTATTGTATTATAATGTTTTAAACTCGTATTAAAAATTTTCCAAATTAGAAAATTTAATTCTAATATCTAAAGCTGTTTAAATGTTGCATATTGAATTAGGTATCTGGGTACTTAGTTAATGGGACACCGGTGTCCTCTTTTACAAATTTTTTCTGACTCTCAAATTACAAGTAAAATATATTTTGGCATCTCTTAATTATAAAAAAATAATTTAATAGTTACTAAAAAAATATGCTAGATTATCGAAGTTATATTTGTACTAAAATATGAAGCTCAAGAAAAAAATAGTTCAAAAATTTTTTTTCATTCAAATCCAAAAATTTATCAATCATTGATTTTGTAAATTAAATTTTAATGATGAATAATTGTCTTTCAGATCTAAATAACTGGGGAAAAAAGTTCAAATTTGAGAAATTATTCTTCGGAAGTGAGCCGTGTTTGGAAGATATTACCTTTAACGCAAAAAAAGACATCGGTGCTTCATGCTGTATTTCATAACCATAAATTATTAACCTACTAGAGAAAGGACAAAATTGGGAGAATGCTTCTCCCCTATACAGTATTTCTCTATGGAAGTACATGAGAAAACCGATTTTACCACGTGGAGAAGACTGCATCAGATTAACATGCGACATTTTTACTCGCTGAATTGTCAGGGATTTAAAATGCTAAATAATATTTTGAACTAAATTAATACAAAATAATGAAAAAATTAAATATGCTAAGTTAAAGTTTTGCGATAAAAGTTTAACGACATACTTATCCATGTAATCAACATTTATTTTTAAAATTTTATTCAATTTTTATTCGTGATTCTAATATGTTCAATGAATAAATAGGTGGATGTTCCAGCCTTCCTATTGGACTGCCTGAGGATTATTACAAAGGATTCAACGGATGTATAGATTCCATAATCTTAGACGGAGATCCGCTACATTTGATGACACATGGAACTGGAGATGTTACATTTTGTGATGAATTTTGATCACTACCTATTAAGAGTGCCTTAATGCTTAGGTTGGTCTTTAGGGACCAGCTGATACATATCAAAATCTCTTTATGATGAATCATACATGTCAACTGTGATGTACCCTAAGCGGAGGATCAGGATTGAAAAAGTGTACTTACCAAAAATGTAAGTGAAATCAGTTTTGAGGATAACACTAGCAGAAAAATTGGTACCATGTTGAAAGTTAATTATAGGCATGTGTGTCGCTTCTTTAATAAGTTGTTTAATGGTTACCATGTTCCTTTACGACTTGAACCATATTACAATATAATTAAGCTCTAGAATTACTAATTTTCATGATAATATTGTTCGACTTGGCACCTTATATGAGTTTTGAACCGAAATTGAACAATATTACGCAGTACACTATTCGATATTTGTATAATATTGCAATATTCGACGTGTCTCAAATTTTTGAACAGTGCATTGAGACCAAATATTTTTTTTATTTAATTTTCACTATATTCTTTTTTTGTTTTGTTTTTTATAATTATAAAGGAATTCAATTTTTGTTTGAAAAACTTTCCCACATTTTTTTAATGAAAAAAAAAGCCAATGCAAAATATTTTAAAAACATTCTGTTTTTGTCAGTATTGTAGTGACGACGTGAAAAAAAAAGTTACTATTTTTTGACATAAAATAATCGTTAGTGCCGCCGCTGTTTTGGATGTTCAACTAAGAGCAAAAAATTTTAAAAAAATTGCGCAGAGAGTACGATAGTATTAAAAAATTTACGATTCAGTAATTAGTTAACTAATTATTAACAGATTGTTAAAAACACCATGCAGGCTGATCTACAAGGTTCAGACCTGAAACTACAGAATTGAAATTTGATCTGCATAACAACTGCTGGGCCATTTTTGTTTAAGACTAAACTTTTTCTCGAAATTTCTTTTTATTCGAAAGTTATTGCAATTTTAGGTGCTTTTTTGCGAAATTTTTATTTTAGTACATATATAAAATAACAAAAAGACCTTCAAGTATAAAATAAAAAATTATTTTTCAACTATTGAACACAATCAGCGTAAGCCACAAAAAATTCCAAATTGTGACTTTTCTTTATTTGGTTGTTGTTGTTGTTGTTCATTTACGTCCCACTAGAGCTGCACAATGGGCTATTGGCGACGATCTGGGAAACATCCCTGAGGATGATCCGAAGACATGCCATCGCAATTTTGATCCTCTGCAGAGGGGATGGCACCCCCGCTTCGGTAGCCCGACAACCTGCACGCGAAGTCGAGCACTTTACGGTAGAACAGTTTAAAGAGGACCAATACCGCACACCCTCGGTCCCTACGCAGGCTGATCCAAGTGGTCCCCCACCCGCACACTGACCGTAGCCAGTGATGCTTGACTTCGGTGATCAACTGGGAACCGTGTCTTAATGATCAGTCCACTGCGGGACCTTTATTTGGCATTGTTATATGATTAAGCTACATATTACACAAAAAATTCACGAGAGTAATTTTTTTTTCATCAGTTATCTGAAATTCTATTTCACAGTTGGAAAAAATAGTAGTTTAGTCGTTTTTTTTTTTTTTTTTTTAAAGGAGCTAGCGTGAAATACTTATGTTTTTTTTTTCAATTGCAAGGCTGTATAAGAATTGTCCATTTTTAACTCTTAACCTGCGCTTTATTCGAGTAGTTTTGCTTCATTAATACCTAGTTATCAACATTCTTTTTTTTAATTCGATAAAATAAAATTGTTTGTGAGAAAAATATCGACAGATACCAAATTTTAAATTGTTTGCACTCACAAAATCTTCTAGTGATTAAAACAAATGGAAATACGATGGCGAAATATCTGGGGAATATGGAGGGTGGGACAATATCTCCCACCTCAAATCGTTGATTTTTCTCAAGTTTAGACTGCTTGATCGGTATGAGTCAAAAAAACTCAAAATTTCCGGATTGGAGCTTTAGACACCACCTTTGGAATTTACGGATGTCTAAATGCACTTGGATAAACATCACAAATCTTTTTGGTAGTAACTGTCGCGTTACTGTCCTGCAAAACTGAAAAAGCATACAATTCCTAGTGTGTAACTTTTCTGGAATTCTGCTAAAAATTTTCCCATAATTTGCAAAGAATACAAATATTAAATCAAAACAAAAAATTTTATTATTTACGTTTAAATAAGTCCCACTAACCTTAATCTTTGGCAAAACTTTGAATGTCACGATTAGGTATTTGAAACTCGAGGAGAAGACAGCTGAAATCAGCTGATTGTATGTAAACAAGCGGGAGTGTTAAAGTTACAGCTATTTTGCTTCATTTGTTATCACGGTGAATAAATTTTTGGATCAGATATGATAGGGTACCTACAAACGACGTCACACGTGAGTGTCGTAACTGATTGGCTGCTGAATCGTGATGTAGCCAATGCTACAATTCAGCAGTCAATCGGATTTGCCTCCCACGCCTGACGTCGCATTGCAGGTATCCAATTCCCTGATAAATTATCAAACGAATATCAAAGTACAAAAAAAAATGGCATTCCTAATACATTAATACAAAACATTATTTTGTTCCCGTGAAAGCCATGTACACTCTCTGGGGAACATTTACGTCAGCAAAGTAATAATTTTTGGAAGAAAAAAAATTTATGATTGAATGTAATAATGGTTGTGAATATTATTATGGTTGAAATGTTTTAAAACATTTTATTTATACTTATTTTTTTAATTTTATAGGAATGTGTTCATAAAATGAGGTTTAAATGAACGAAATCAACAGTTGGTGATCGTCTTGATAACGCGTCTTCCATAGCGAGTGAAATTGCAGCACATCATTTAAAACTGTCGCAAAGATTATTGTGTAAAAGGTTAGTGCAACAAGCTGGTACAAATGCAAAACTGAGCAATTTCAATAAAAATGATTGCGGTAGATACAGATAAATATTTTTTTATAAATAAAAAAATTTAAATTTTATATTGCAAATATTTTTAAACGAATTAATTGATGCTTAATTCTGAGAAATCTGTACTGTTCTCTGAAAATGTATACAATTAATTGTTTAATAAAACAATTGTAGTCTCGCAATCACGAGATGAGCTCTCAATCACATTGCTTTTAAGGAAATCAAAGCCTTATTTCGCAACTGTTAGACAGTAATTCAATAATTGTTGTCTGTGTTTAAAAATAAAGTTTATTTTTTTTTTCTAGATAAGCTGCCTAAAGACATTCAGGGACGTTTATATTAAGTTCATGACCTTTATTTGACTACAGATACAATGGAGTGAAAAAACTTACAACGCCTGGTATTTCTACTATAAGAACTGTTTCTGAAATTTATATCTATGTATTTGTATATATTAATTAAAAAAATTTAAATAAATAAGTCTTTTTAAAATAATCATTCTATTATCCTTGCTATTTTTACTTATTTACAAATTTAGAAAATCATAATACCTATGACAGATAGATTATTTTTTTCGATTTTACGGCGTAATAATGCTTACAAAATAATGCTTACGGCGAAATATGCCACAAAAATAAACAAATAAACGGACCAAACAGAATAACTTTTGATCAAATGTTCGGAATTTTACTTACCAGATCTCAATCTTAAATGTTCGAGAAAGTTATGTCAAATAAGCTAATTAGTTAATGGAGGCGATATTTTAAGTTACGAAATCGAATGAAAACGAATTTTCTCTGAATAAACATTTCATTTATTAGACGGATTTGGATTATGGTCTATATAATTTGGATCCATTAATGTTAATTTCACTTTCTGCATATTTTGTATATATCAAGAGCGCTCTAAACGAATTAAAAGGTTTTTGTTTGCAATTACTATAAAATTTGCTTACCCAAAGATAATTCCGAACAAAAAATAATTTTTGATAACTTTATTTTTTATAACATTTCCTAATAGTTAAAGAATTTTGAATGGTAAGGTATACAAATTTTACATCATTTTGAATAATATAATTCAATGTGGCGGAATACAAAATTTAAATAAATAGTTCCCAAAAAATCGAATTTTAAAAAATTCAGATTTTTAAAAATTAGAATTCCTACAAACTATTAGACCGATTTCGTTCAAATAAATTTAGTAGTTTATAATATAAAATTGCAGTATTTAAAATTATGTAGATATTCGAGTACTTTTTTTAACCATTGTTATATAAAATAATAAAAAATAAAAATATTAATTGAAAGTCACTTTCTACATGGAATTATCTTAGGATAAACAAATGCTATGATCATGTGCAAAAAGTTTTCAATTCGCTTAGAAAGTTCTCGAGATATGACAAAATACACAAAAAGAAAAATTAATATTAAGTGCTCCAAACTTTAAACAGCTTTCCTGACCAAAATATTGAGACTCTATCCATTTTGCGGCTACACTCTATATTTCGGAAGCCAGAAATCTAAATTCGTTGAAAATAAGGTATGATTATTCAGACAAAGTACGTTTTTGTGTCTAATTTCGTAACTTAAAATACTGACAGCAGTAACTAAATAGCTTATTTGATTGAACTTATTAGCTTATTATAGTCACCCCTTTGAACCATTAAAATTGAATCTTAGCGTGTGAAAATTTGATCATTAGGATCAAAAAATACTTTGGGTGTTTCGTTCATTATTTTTTCGCGCACTGCGTCTGTTAAGAAACTTGAAATGCATATGCTATCAAAAATGAAGTCAAAGAAGTGAACACATTAAGATAGCATGTAGGTACTACCTAGATAGCTTACCTACTAGGTAGATACCGTACGTCGCACTAGAGCTGCAGAATGGGCTGTTGGCGACGGTCTGGGAAACATCCCTGAGGATGACAAAATTTGAATACGAAATTCACAATCACTTGGAACAGTGTGAAAGAAAAGTGGTAAAGTAACTTTTGATCCATATTGGATTTTCCCAACTCAGTCTTTTCTAAAACTCAATGATCGTGAGTGTAACCCTAAATAGGCTAACTAATTTGGTATGTACTTTATTTACGTCGTACTAGAGCTGCACAATGAGCTATTGGCGACGGTCTGGGAGACAGAAACGCAAACAGAGGATAATCCGTGGAAGTGGCACCGCAATTTCGTTCCTCTTCAGAGGGGATAGTTCCCCTGCTTTTGGTAGCCCGACGACCTGTGCTTGAAGTCGAGCACTTTACTGTAGAGCAATTTAACGAGGACAGATGCAGTACACCCTCGGTCCCTACGCAGGCTGGCCAAAGCTGTCACCCACCCACTTATTGAACGCTACCAGAGATGCTTGACTTCGGTGTTCTGCTGGGAACCGTGTCTTTACGATCAGTCCACTGCGGGACTGTTTAGAAAGGACCTCACGATATAGTATATTTCTAGAAATATTATTAAAAATGAAGTCAAACAAGAGAACACATTAAAGATGGAAATTAATATTTAAGAGGAATAGATAACGACATCTAAATCTTACTCATCACGACTGAGGAAAGCAGGACCGAGAACATCAAAACCGACAGGAGTTTGATGACGAAACTTAGAAATACCTCTAAGTTTCATCAGGCTAACAAACTGATTTTGTTGCTTTTCAATTCATCTCCCTATCTTGAATTTCGAAAGAATATGAAAGCATTTTTAATATTTCACCTAAATGTCTATTTTCTTCAAGAGTTATATTTAACATTTTAACGTAGTTTTGAGTTTCATATAGCTTCCTTACCAAAATGTTTTTTAATTTATTTGAAAATCAAGACAGAAACTAAAACGTACTTCCTCTCCTATGACTATCCCCACGCTAATGGTGACAGCATGAGATGTTATTATAGAGTTCTGCTCTTCGCCTACTGTAGCCAATTTTGATCGCAAATAGGATGATCGAAATTTAATATTAAGCCCAGTTAAAAACAAAAAATTATGAGAATCTAATGAATTAAAACTTTGGAAAACATAATTGAAAATATCAAAACAATTTAAATGCAGGAGGAAATATAATGGCAACGAAAGGCAATTATTGGAAGAAAAGATATCTCCAAGTTTCATCTGGCAATTCAGTTTTTTTTGTTAAGCCCACGTCCAATGAGTCAATTGGTTTCAATATCATTTTGGCTTTTAATTTTTTTTATTTCAGCTTCATTATTAATTTCCGACCCTTAAGTGTTATGTTTTGTTATTTCATTTTTGTGAGGAATTTCTCTACTTTTCATTCTTGCGTGTGGCATTGTTTCTAGCAAGATTGTTATCGTTTGAGTACGTAATTTAAGCATATTTTTAACGTGAGTTTAGTATATACGTGAGGATTCAAATAAACGGCAGCAAAAACTTGTTTATTAGTCTTTATTCATAAACATATTAGAACATATATCGTTGACCAAATACATAACTTTTTTTTTATTGCCAATGAGTTGCACAATCGGTCTTGCCAATGAGCAGACCTATTGTGTTCTCCAGATGTGGTATCCACTCTTTCAGGACCACCACAATGGGTGAGATACCGTTGGTCATGTTAATTTGGACGTCTAGTTTCCGCCACAATAGATGCCAGCACTGAGACTCTATTTGGATGCTAAAANACTGAAGCGGGGGTGCCATCCCTTCCGCAGAGGATCAAAATTGTGATGGCATGTCTTCGGATCGTCCTCCGGGATGTTTCCCAGACCGTCGCCAATAGCCCATTGTGCAGCTCTAGTGCGACGTAAAGTAACAACAACAACAATAAACATATTAGAACATATATCGTTGACCAAATACGTAACTTTTTTTTTATTTCCAATGAGTTGCACAATCGGTTTTGCCAATGAGCAGACCTAGTGTGTTCTCCAGATGTGGTATCCACTCTTTCAGGACCACCACAATGGGTGAGATACCGTTGGTCATGTTAATTTGGACGTCTAGTTTCCGCCACAATAGATGCCAGCACCGAGACTCTATTTGGATGCTAAAATGCACTAGGAATTTAATTTTGCCGGAAAAGCCAAGAGCCAATAAGGCACTCCAGGGATCTTTTACATGCCGCATAATCATACGACATGGCCGCAGAAGATTTTCTGCATCCCGAAAATCCGGTGCCTGAGCCGGGGATCGAACCCGCAGACTTGGGATCAGAAGGCCGACGACAAACCAACTGCGCCACCCAGCCACAATACGTATATACACTAACTATACACTAACATTTATTTTATTATAAACCTTTGTTAAGGTCTAAATTCTTACCATCTTCAATAAAACCTAAAATAAAATGAAATCCCGGCTTCTCCACTAGTGGATGGCAGAAATATAATTATGGGAACTATTTATTTCCTAATAAATATTCCTCATCCAACACGCAAAGTCACATTAATGTTATACTACAATGATTACTCTATTTGATATGTTTCAGTTTTATTCATTTCCTTTTAATCACAGGTAAGTAGGTTGGTACTTTATTTACGTCACACTAGAGCAGCACAATGGGCTACACAATGGCGACTGTCTGGGAAACATTCCTGAGGATGATTCGAGGACATGCCATCGCAATTTTGATCCTCTACAAAGGAACAGCACCGTCGTTGAACAGCAGTCCCAATTTTTTGGGGTTTACGACTACTATTGTTCAACTCCGTAGTCTTGTAATTTTGAACCCAATTCAGAAGACAAGGGAACTCCTAGATCAAGTATTGGGGAAAATTATGCCTTTGTGGAGGACTTTTTTTGATGGAACTAACCCGCATTTGTGGTAAAATTCTACGCCCAAATGTTAACGCAAATAATAATAAAAACTTCTTAAAATATTAAGGCTGTTCACACATCACCTCGTAAGCGGGGGGATACACCGGAAGTTTTCAAAATTTTTCCGATATTAGGAAGCTTATTATTGTTTACTTTCAGTCAACCACCCAGTAGTGAGAATTTAGCTTTAAAAACTATTAAAGCTAGAAGCTAAAATATAACTTCCGAAAGAATTTTTATCTATTCTTATCAATCAATCAACGAGAACTGATTTGGTTCTCTTTTTGATTTGTTTATTCTGTGGAATTAGCTTATATAATTTTAACATATTGCTTAAATTAACTTGAATCTATGTTCTACGATCCTGATGTACTGCCGCAAAGTTATTTTTCTTTTCAATATGAATACTATTTACCAAGCGCACTTATATTGACCACGTATTCTAGTTAATAAAATCGGACTCCTGAAAAAAACAATGTGGGTCAACGCATATCTTCCGGCTATATGTCATGAGGTGTTTTTAGGAATCATCAGGTGAATCGGGTCAAGACGTGTCATTCACCTTGAAATTTTCTGAAGCATTTTTATTTAAGACAGTTGACCTTTACTCCTTATTTATTTTGATTCCGTCCTTTCGAGTGTGAGCTTCAAATCGCAAATATGTTATCTCGTAAACTGCGCTCGGTTTTGTTTTGCTCAAAAAATACTGCATTTTGTAAAGAATTTAAAGTCTCCAAAAGAGTTTTTAGTTCTAAAATGTCTGTGCTTACTTCAGGACCTGAAATTTGGTCCCCGAATACTAAAACTGCCGATTGGAATAGAGCTGTATCTGACGCTGAAAAAATAGTTGGTTACCCAACATCTTTTTTCAGTTTAAAATGTTTACTAAGTGAGGAATTTAATACTGTGGCCATGCATCTTCGTAAATTAATGGGGACAAATCATCCTATTTTAAGAACAGCTAAGTGAGTAATCTAACTCCTAAGAAAAATGTAAATCGTTCAAATTTCATTAATCTAGTGTATTTTTACCTCAAGTATTATAGATACAGTGTATTTTACTGCAATTTTGTTTAATGTAGTATATTTTTACCTTAAATATCAATATTATAGTGTATTTTAACTTCAAATTTTATTTATCTAAAGTATTTTTATTGTAAATATTTATGTTACATTGTACTTTTACTGAAAATATTAATAATGTAGTGGATTTTTACTGGAGGTACATGTTATTTATTTACAAGATATTTTTAATCCTAAGAGTTCTTTTCATCATTTTTATTATTATTGTACAATTTTATTGTTGATCATTTTTATAGTATTGTTAAATATTTTTAAACATGAGATAAGAATTCTATGAAATTTTAAAATTTTGGAAGTATTTAACTATGTATGCATATTTTTATTTATTTATTTTTTCTAGCAATTCTTTATCAAGTGCAAAAAATACTCTTTCTTTGATATTTTATGTTATTAATTGAGCCATATTTCAATAAAAAAAATTATATATATGCATTTGCCTAATTTATGTTTTATGCTTTCCAAAAATGATATATGTTTATTTTAATAAATTAATAATATTAAAGTTGGAAAAAGCATAAGTTGACTACTATGTATCAATGTTTATTTCGGTAAAAAATTTTAAGTGTGCTGGAAATTTTCTTTAAAATTCCAAAAATCTTAAAAGTATCTGCAGGGGTATGTCCTTGTTTTTCTGAAAGGTACCTATTTTGTGAAAATTTAGACATAATTTGTGAAAAATTATAAATTATCTTAAAAAATCAACACTGAAACATGGTAAAAATATAGATTTATCATTTCTTAAGGGATACAAAAATAAAATTTTGAAAAATAGTAATTTGTGAAACTACCATTTTTCCTAAAATTGAATTTGTGAAACTACCGTTTTACCTAAAATTGAATTTGTGAAGGTACCGCTAAATGGTAGACCCCTGATCTGTTTAATGTTTTCTTTAACTATAATTAAGTTTTAGGAAAATTTAAAATTTTAATCACATTGTTAAACTCACAACTCATGGATCTTGATGTTAAACTTACTTATCACACAATTAGGAGCTATAATGTATAAAAAGTGACACCAAACATAATTTATAATGATGTGAATATGAATCGAGTTGCATGTTTTAAATATGTTTTAAAGCCATCATTTAATTGCTTCATTTATAAGAATCTATATTGGTTTGAATTACAATAACAATACAAACATATAAATAATCAAACATATAAATAAACAATTATTTTAGCTTTATGTTAGAACATTTTGTCTACGTATTATATTAATCAAAATGAACAATCCTCTAGATTCGGAAAATATTCATCTGAACCTTTTCTTAAAAAAATTTAATCTTAAGAATACAGAATATGTGACTCTGTAAGAAGGAAGTAATTTTACTCGTTGATGAAACTTATTAGAGTTCAAATGAGAAATCTTGTCGCTTTAATTAAGTTTTTTTTTAAATTTCTCTACAAAACCTAAGATTTTTAACTGGCAAATTGTAATCTCTCTTTTTTTTCTTCCTTTTTTTTATTTATTTTTTTGTTACTTTTGATTGTCATTTACTTGAGTTAATGAAATAAAGATCTCATGGTTGAAAAATAAATTTTCTTCATCAATTAATAAATTGTTAATATTTAATGCAAAAAAGCTGGACAAAAATCATGAAAAAGCATCGAAATTTATATTAACATTCAAACAAATAGCAATTTCTAAGAAAACAACTTTTGTTAAAATTATAACATAAGATGGTCCTATCAGCGCATTAAACTTCAACTGCGTAGTTGCATTTCTACATTGACATACATGTTTTTATTTTTTTTTACAAAGGGTTAACAGTTAATAATTCTTAAACTGACAATTGAATCATAATATTTTTTATTCCATCAAACTCCTTACATATTTTTCTGCACACCTTCAGAATTTCAAGTTTCTAAGTCTTATAAATTTAGAGCAGCAAAGCAAAATGAAGTGTAAATGGGGAAAAAATTTACACTAAAACCACTTTAAAATTTCAATAATGTTGGAACAAATTTTAAAAAAAAAAAACTTTTGTGTAAAGCTCATAAACAAATGTAACTTTTTCAGCATGTAAATTTTCAACTCTATTTGCATTCTTGCGACCTGTAAATCGGCCCCACTGGTATTTTTCCCAAAACTGTTAATAATTCTTAAAAAAATTATGTACTTTTCAACACATCTTAGTAATTTCAAGTATCTGTATCTTATACTTTTCATGCAGCATAACAAAATGCAACAGTAGTTATTTTCAGACACACAATTTAATCTTGTGTACCTGTGTATTGTAATTAAGGTTTTACCATAGTTGTAACATAGTTCTGTAAATGGGAGCTGTTTGTTACCATAAATAACTTTACTTATATAATTTGATATATGATGAAAAAATCTAAATCCTGTTTTTTTTATATTTTTCCCAGGAGACTTGTGTATCATGGTCGTACAAATATGCAAACAAGAGGTTTGATTGTGTTGTTGTTGTCTAAAGCTGCTGGGCATACTGAAACATGTTCAGACATTGATTCTGCTATTGCCTCAGGTGTTACAGAAAGACAACAAACACTTGCTGAACTCACAGAAATGATTTATACTGCTCATCTTATTCATAAAGGAATTTTGAATTTGTCTCCTACAAATATTCCTGATGAAAATATGCTGCATGATTTGCAATTTGGTAATAAGATTTCGATTTTAAGTGGTGATTATCTCCTAGCAAATGCATGTAAAGGTTTAGCAAATCTAAAAAATTGTAAGGTAAGAAAATTCTAAAAAATATAAATTTTTTAATTTTAGAAATTTTTTTTTATGAATTGTCCATCTGACTAATAAATTTAATTATTATGCGTGACTAAGTTCTAATTCTGTAAGTTGACAAAATTTTTCCTATTAGATTAAACTATTGTTTCTGTCAAACTCTAAAAATTAAACTATAAATTTTAAGATAGATATTTGATTAAAAATCTTCTGTTTTCATCGAAGTTTTTTTTGTGACAAGGCAATTAAGATAGACTTTATTCTTTTTTCTTCACTTTTTCTTGAAAATACGGTAATTGGAAAACAGATGTTTAGCTCTAAAATTTTCTTACAAAAATTATGATCCATTTTTCCTGTTTTGCTTTTGTATATAATCTGTTTCTTATGGACATTTATGATCTTGCAACTTTTTTTTAAAAGTGTTTCTGATGGACTGAATATAATATAATATAATATAATATTGAAATATAATTTTTAGCATTAAAGTTTTGATTGAAGTTTGGATCGGATATTTTTTTTCTGCCTCTTTTTTTTTCAACATTACTACTTTAATTTTTTTTAATAGCTGTTAATCAGTTTTTTATTTATCTATTAATAGTCTACTTATTAATAAATCAATAAGTCTGCACATTTAAAGGCGTTCACTTAACTAATTTTTCATTAGGTGGTTGATCATGTGTCAAAATCCATTGCCGATTTCATGCAAGCAGAATTTCTTGGTGAACATGACAAACAAGGAAATCCTTTACCTGTTAAAGAGATGACTTTAGCTACATGGGAAGAGAAAAACTGCTTAGCGATGGGCAGCCTTGTTGCCAATAGCTGCAAATCTACATTAGAGCTAGCAGGACACCCAGAATCTTGGCAAGAAAAAGGTTTTCAACTTGGAAAGAACATTGCGCTGGCATGGCAAGTATGTTTCCTTTATTTACTTCACTAATCCTTGATTTACATTACTAATTTCTTTCATTTCAGTAGGAAGTTAATTGCTATAGTCAATGAAAAATTTATTTCCTTCCATTTTTTATATTACTGTTTGTTTCTCCTTTTTGATTTATTTATTTTATTAAAAGATAATATGCAGGTAAATTTTAAATTTAGATTTTCTGTAAAAAAATATTTTCAAAATAAATTTCAAATTTTTCTCAACTCAGTCAATATTGCTGGAGAATAATTTTAACCTAAAAAGTGTTTTGTATATTATACTTTTTATTGTTATTATATTAATACTTGTAATTGAAAATTATAAAACAATATTTTAATCTTATCATTTAAAGAGTAATTTACTACTTAGTGAACAAAAAGTTAATGTTCTTTTTCTCTTTTCCAAGTATCAAATATTTTTTGTAATGATACAAACATATCACGACATTTTTCATACACAGGTAATTCTAAAAACTAATGAAGACATTTCTGACTGAAAAATGTAGTTGTAGAGTTACTAATTACTTTTAGAGAAAACCAGTTTTAATGAACCTTGCGTAAGAAATTTTTTAAGTTGTTGATAATATTGTTGACTAATGTAAATAATTTAAACAAAAGAGATTTTCTAGTAATTATAATGAAATTCTCAGCTGGAAAACATGATCCTAACAGTTTTGAAATATGTGTATTTGTAGTATTTATTTACTAAGTTCATCCATTACTTCTTTAGCTTTTTAAATTTATTAGCTTCTTTATAACATTTGATAAATGAAATATTAATTGCTCGAATCGAATATTAATGTGCATAGAATATGAATATTTAAAGTCTTTAGTTAAAACTGCTGTAATAAATTCTAATTGAAAATTATTTGTTATGAATTAGTAATAGAAATTTATTTTACTCATCATCTTTTGCAGTTAGTGAATTATTAATTAACCTTATATCATTGACAGTATATTGGAGCCAAGTTTTGTCAAAAGACCAAAATAAAAGTATTTCCAAAAAAAATTTTAAATAATTGCAAATACTCGTAAACTAATGACGAATTTATACTGAAAAGGAAATTTTTTTATCAATTTATTTGAATGTAAAATTAAGATAGATAATTTTTATCTAATATTTACTTAAGTTGATGAAGTACTATTTTAGATCCATAGTGGGTGTTGATCAAATTAAATATACACTAAGGCCTTTGTAGGCAATAAAATTTTATTCTAATTCATCATGTTATACGTAGGTATGATTTGTAGTATATTTAAATTTTTTAATTGTATCCTCCATAAAAGTATGCTATTTAGAATCATTTAATGAAATATAGTCAACGTGTTATCTACAGTGAAAAATAGTTTCTTCCTTTTTTCTTTTTTTTTAAAAGAAAATGAAAGTAGTAATGATAATTCTGCATACCATGTTTACAAAAAAAAATTTCTTGAATTTATTGCCATGCTTTTTTATTGTGTTTGAATTTTACAAAATTACAATAATTCATGCAGTCTGCTTATAAAACTTGTTTGTAATATTTGAAGAAAAGTTCTTTATTTCCTAAAATACTTTTTTCATATTTTACTTTTGATACTTAAAATTTGTTCTTATTCCTTTATTTGTATGTTTATCCTATTTCTACTTTAATAGTCTATGTTGAAGTTAAAAATTCTTAAGAAGTTTTTATAAATTTTACATATAAATCAAGTTTTTTTTTCATTGTCTGTGTTTAATTGTAATATTTCTATATTAAAATACTTTTTATTCAGTATAATTTTAATAAGTTAATATTACAAAAGTTTCTTAAAAAAGTTAAAGTTACTTAAGTAATAAAAACAAAACTTACTTTTTAACTTATTGAAAAATAAGAGTTAATTTTTTTTTTACTTGAAAATTCAAAGTTAGATATTTTAAAATTAAACTTCATTGAAACTCAAAAAAAAATTTTTTATTTAATATTTTATTTTATTTATATTTTTTGATGCTTGTTATATTGAAGATATAAAGTCATATGTTTTGTATCTTAAAAATTTACTTAATCAATAAGTATTTTATTTTTGTTATACTTTCATTTCTTATAACATCTTCAAAATATGTTAAGAAATCAGTTATAATTTTATAAGTTTCCATAAATTTGTAACGTAAATTTATTTGACTATGCTCTAAAATAACTCTTTTAAGCTTCTGCTGTGTAAGCAGAAATGTCCATAAAAAAAGGGTCGAAAATCGTCTTAACACTAAACATACCGACAATTTACAATACAACACAACATGCCATAACCAGTTTTTTGATGGTATGTTTAGTGTTAAGCTTATTTCATTATTAATCTGTTTCCCATTTTTAAATGCAGATTTGAGACTTGTAGAATATATCAATAACTTAAATTTAACTATAATTAAACTATAAGTTAACAAATCATGAAAAACTTTGTTTTTTCATAAAGTGTAGTTGAAAGATATGCAATTTTACGAAAATTTATTATTTATCCCCAAGTTTTTTTATTTATTTATTTTATTTTGTTCAAACTTATACTTAATCCTTGTATACTTTGAAAAACTTTATTTTGCCTAAGTAGGGAGCTTAATGGTTTGAATGCTATAAATATAGAATGATAAATGCATCTTCAAACAGTAAAATTTAAATTAATCAGTTAAGAAGTTTAATATCTGAAAACCTAATTCTTCCTATTTTAATAGTAATAGTTTAATAGTAACTAATAATTTTTATTATTATTATTTTAACTGTAATTTTCTCAAAAGAGTTATTTTGCATACACATTTAGTCATTTTTTATTAAAAGAATATTTATTTTTTAATAGCTATAAAATAATTTTTTTTTTTGTTTATATGCATTTTTCTGCTACTATCCTATTAATTTCATAATTATTGACTAAACTTTTGTGGGATGTATTAAAAAAAAGAAATTGGTTTGAATATTCAATTCTTTTGGGTGTGGCTAAAATATCAGACTTCATGAAATGGTAGCTAACTAATTTCTTTTTAATTTGTGTGTTCCTTTCCTTTTCTACTACTTCAGTTATTTTTTTTTTTTTTTTTTTTTTTACAATGTTAAGCAAGATCTGTAAAGATCCAGCTAGAGACCACAGTGTGAAATCATTTGTCACAATCATTGTACACTAAAGTTTGGACTCTCGAAAACAATTGCTTTGTTGGAAATGCAATAGATTAAAGGTTAAAGACTTATGACCTATTGCTGAATATTTCAAAAGGTGTTTGCATTGCCATAAAAGGCAACCACTTTGAAACCAATTAAATTTATTGATTAGTAAAAGTCTGCTTTTATTATTATTTGTTATATTTTGTTAATTTATTTATTTTTCGTAAAGTTATTTTAAAAAAATTTTGTCTTTACTTTTTTCTTACTACATCCTGTATTCAGCAATGATTATGTTTTCAATTATTGATTTTAACAAAATTTTGGTCTTTTTAACAATTTTTCACAAATCTGTGTTTACTTCCAAAATTAATCATTTGCACATTGCCTCCATTAAACAACTCACTTTAGTTATCCTATGAAACAAATGAAAATTATGAAAAAATACGACAACCAAAGCTGACATCTTCAGGGAGAACCAGCTTCAGCAGCCATAATTGCAAAACCTTTTCTATCGAGAAAGCTCCGCAAATCTCTAAATTGCTCTCTCTGTACCCCAAAGATTTTGCCAAAGTCCAGGAAGACAAAATACAATACAAAATATAAAATACATAAAGCAAATACAAAAGTATAAAATCAAGACTAGTACATAAAAATAAAACACACAAAACTTTACTTGAAGCATAAATCCCATAACCAAATTACACTACTGATTGCCAAACAACAACTAAATTGAAATAAATGAAAAATCAACACCTTCTAATTTGATGCACAGAAGGAAGAAAAAAAGAGTGAGAAAGTAGTGACATCATTAATAGAAATGCTTAACCAGAGCAACTCGGTCAAGACTTGATCTTGCCCTATTGAAAGAAAAAACCAAACTAATAATTCTCAATCATTTTCTTAATTTTAAAATCAATATTATAAAAATTAAAGGAAAAACCATTATTTTCTGAATTTTTCAAAAAATTACTTGTTGCCTTTTGAAAACTTTCATAAGCATTTTTTTGTAATTATTTACAAAAGCAGGAATTTGATGGAAAAATTCTGATTTAATATTGATTTTCGATACATATACTATAATAAGTAGATACCATAAGTAGATTTTTTCCCAAAATCAGAATCTTTCTCAAACAGTTTAGACTGACCCTTAATAAAAATTCCATTCATTACATCATTTGCTAAAATTTATGAAAAATTTATTACTATTTTTTAAATGTCTTTTACAGGATTCACCGATTTAAATTGCAAGTAAAATCATGATTTTAATCACTTGAATTTTTTTTTAATTAATTGTCGATTTAAATCAAAAGAAAAAAGAATTTAACATCTAGCTAATTAACATTTTTATGTAAAATTTAATAAAATTTAAACCTATTTATCATTAATATAAAATGAAATCTGTGAATTTAAGTTTACAGATTAAATTTTTGGGGGAACGAAAGCTGTTTTTGAATTTCCTATGCGCAGCGGCAATCGCGTACTTTCCTTCTCATGCGTTATATTGCAGTGGCATCAGAACTATATTTTACATCTGTTATTATTATCATACATTTGTTATTTATATCATGTAAAATACTTCTTGTCACAATATAAAAAAATTTACTTTTTTACTATGCAGTAACAAATGATAAGTCCGCTTCCTAGCTTATTAGGTTAATCCATATTTCTGAAGTAAAAAATGAAATGAATAAAGCTTTTGATTATGCCAAGGAGAAGTATTCTAATAATTTTATAATATTAGTTATGAAATTCATGAGAAAGGCAGATCCATTCTATATCTTCTTGAGGAAAGTGTTATATCTCAAATGTCCCTTATGGAACGGACGTGTTTGAAAGTCTAATTTTTATGAAGCAATAAAAGAAAAAGCAGTTAAACTGTTTCTTACTTCTGCTTCTGTGAAAGACTTACTTGTTATTTTCTGTGCACTTTAAAATTAGAGATAAATTTCAAAATGAAAAGGCCAAAAAATTAATGTTTTATTTCATAAAGTCCGTGTCTTACTTATTTTCAGAAAATGTTAAATATTTTTATATTATCTGAATATTGATTGTATTTTCTTTGCAGTGTCCATAATTTTAACTAACTTTTATACCATTTTCAGAAGTAATATTTTTTGTTGTAGAAAATATTTTTCCTACTTGTTTAATTATACTCATTTTCTGAATATGTGTGTTTAAAACTTACAATAAATAGTAAATAAATAATTGCGTATGTGTTTTCTTAAATTGAACAACATTTTTTTTTACCAAGTAGTAATTTTATAATGTGATATTTAATTATTTTATTATACGTATATTTGAGAGAAATATTTTAAATAATATTTAAAATTTTGCTCAAACTTAATTGCATTTGCATGTATATTTTAACATATTTGAAATTTATTATTTCATATTTATTATTTTTATATTTTTTACTTAACATTTAAATTGTATGTTGCAGAAAATTGTCTTAAAAAGCTATTAGACATCCAATTAAAAAACAAAACAAAAAATTTTCTCCCTTTTAAAAAAATTATGATTTTTTTAAACCCTTTTCTTATATAAGTTTTTTCACAATTATTTTTAATACAAAATTAAGTTACCTTTGTATAAAAATAATCTATAATTTTTTTAATGTGTGTAGATAGTAAATTTAATTTTATGAAATTAAAGGAAGAGTTTATCGGAAAATAAAATTACTCTATGGCATTTTTAATTTGGTGTTTTCTTAAATTTAATTCATCACTAAAAGTATAAAGTAACTCATTAAATATATTATTATTTTTAGGTTTATGATGATTTACAGCCATTTGTAGATAACTTAAGACATCCACCTGGTTGTACATTTGACTTAGTATCTCTTCCAGTCATCTTTCATCTTGAAAATCAACCACAAAAAGTTGAGGACATCCGAGCCGAAATTGGAGATGATATTTCAAATTTTAATTTCAAAAAAGTAAGTTTCTGATTTTTTATATTACTGAAATTAACATATTTACCACTACTTTTAAGAAGTCATCTTACTGGATATGATGATATTTTAAATGGATAACACATTGCCATTTAGTTATTTATAGTATGGCCATGTGTAAATAAAATATTTTTTATCGTCTAATATTCTGCTTATTTTTTAAAATTTATTTTATTTTTATATTAGAAGAGAATTAATAAAGACATTTTTATTTTGTTTAGATACAACAAAAAAAGTTTTTCATAAGAAAATATCACTGATTAATGAGAATCATTATAAACAAAATATTTTGACCTTAAAACTGAGATTGCAATTTTATTTGCATTATCTTAAATACTGTTTTTAAATTAAAGTTTAGATATTCAAAGCAAATTATAATATCGAAATTTAGTTTAAATTGTGTACACATAATTTTTGTAATATCTTTAACGATTTTTTTTACTGATTGTTTAAGCATATATGTTTTATTTCTGGGCAAAATATATAATAAAATGGCATCATCCTGAGTTACTTTAACTCCACTTGGGTAATTAAAGCCATTTTGTATGTAAATTTTGTATGCTAATTTAGCAAACCAAAAAAAGTTAATTTTAAAACTGGAGCATAGACTTTATATTAGTGTCTCTGAATAAAATTTCTGTCTGTCGCCCTCATTTTATACCTGTTTTCTGTTTATACTCATTTTTTAACAGTTTGATTTAACATTAAATGGATATTTAAATTACGTGGAAAGTCAATTAATAAGAACCTCTCCTATCATTTTTATGTGATTCATTTTAAATGCAATATTGTAAAAATTCATATGTGTTCCTAAATGTTGGTCATTTTAGAGTATTTGCCATAATAGTTTAATGGGTGCAGAATTACCCATATACAATATCCAACAGTTTTATAGTTTTAGGCTTAGAACATTACTATAGTTTTGGAGAAAAAAATTAAAAAACATTGATTGTACACACAATTTATTTTATTACTTTTTGTATAATGAAAAAATTCTTTTCAGCTGTATGAATCTATTATGGAAGATGATAGTGTAGAGAAAACAAAAGATCTTCTTCATCAATATTCTCAAGCAGCTGAAGATTTATTAAGTGAATTTGGTTCTTCTCCTGCCTCAAAAGCAATTTCAAACATAATTAATTCATTAAGAAAATGATACATTTTCACACTGAAAGAAAAATGTACCTTGGGAACATTGGAGAGGGGACAAATAAAAATTACCAAATTGAAAAACATGTTATTGCGGGTGACCTTATAACCTTTGTTCGTGCTGACAAATCTACAAACAAGTTACTTTACAATGGAAAAAAATCAATAATTATGTAAAGCAAATTATCATTTTGATTTCAAAGCTTAATTTCACAATTTCATTAAAATATTATTTTATGTATTGTATTGTAGCACTCAGCTCTTTAACCCTTTATAAGGCCCCGGGATCCATACTTCCCACTTTTTTCATTAATTTTTAAATGTCAATTGAAAGATATTTTCTCACCTATGATTAGTGTGGTCATTTGCTGATAACTTCAAAAAATGCAAAAAAAAAAATTTAAAAGTTTTGTATATTTACATATGGTAGCAGTAAATGTTTGTGTGGTCAAGAAGAATACTTGACATTGGGGAGCAATTTTTTGCTTTTACATTATGTGTTTGTTCATTTGATCGTGCTTCATTGAGTTTATTTGTAGTTATAGCCACAGAATTAGTAAATGTGATTATTTATAAGTGTAGAAGTTCGAGTTTATGACCAATTCTTTTAAGAAGCAAATTTTTTTAAATTCCACTGAACTTTTCACCAAAAAAATAGTCTTGAATATCAAATTAATTTTAGGTGATAAGCTAAACTATTTTCTTTTTATAAAACAATCTCAGACCCAAAAGTGTTTCAACATAACATTACAAAAAAATGGTTTATAAAGGGTTAATTAGCCTTACATTAAATTGTTATATATTTTTTATAAAGTTTCCTGTCATGTTAAGGTGCACAACCTTTTTATAAAATAGCACATGTTAAAAAAAAATATTTACTTGGGAGTCCGCAATAAATTAAGTTTTTAAATCAATTCATAACCACTTAATTTTTCTTTTGTTCTATAAGAATATAAATTTGTTTTCAAAATAAAGTGGGAAAAAAATAGAGCAAATTGTGTATATGATAGTTAGAATGCATAAAAATTTTAAAACCATGTTTCTGAAATTTAATCCGTATATCATTTCATTGAGCTCTTCCCTTGGTATCACATTTTCATAGATTAATCATATTTCATCATCATATATTTATAGATGCATTATATATTTTTATGCATTGTTTCATAAATTTTAAAGTCTCATAGTAAAAAAGTCGTAAATTGTATTGTATTTCATAAAACTTTTTCACATAAATAAATTAAATATGCAGGAACTGCAATGAAGGCATTTATTAGTATCAGTTGCTGTTTCTCTGTTCATAAAATGTGCTTTTTATAGAAAGACTCTATAGTGCAAAATACAGTATTACTTAAAAGAAATATTAATATATTCATAGTTGTAATGACTAAATTTATATTTTTGAAAATTGTACATTTCAGATTATATTATTTATAATTATTTGTTGTTTAGTTGTTAATTGTATGTTAGTTGTTTAGCTGTTAAATGTATATTTGTTAAAGGTTATGTATATCAAATGCTGCATGTGTTTTAAAGGAATATTTTGAACTTAGAATATTTTGAACATAAAATGAATTTAAGCCCAACAAGAAATAAGCTTTTAAATTATCAAATCAACCCTTTCTTTACTTCTAATAATACTTCTGAATAACCTAACCTACTTTTATTAGTTACAAATAAACCTAATTTACTAATTTTAATGTAAGCAAAACCTATTTTTTTAATGTAGTAAATTAGAAGTGCTTATCACTTTTTTTAAAACTTTTGAGAATCTGGCATTTTCTGTAAAAGAAAAATAACACACAAATGACAATTTTGATTATAATTTTTATTTTTGAAAATAACATACAATGACAAATTTATTTATTGTGATCAATTATTTCTTTTGTTTTTGAATGGCATTCATTAGTTAGTGATATAATTAATCAAAACTATCTGATTGTAAATCCCTCGTTTTAAAAGTTATTAATATTGCTTTTTCTTGTAAAGAAATAAATTTTTATTCTGTATTTCAATTTATTTGAAATAGCTTTACAAAGAATTTTTTTTTTTTAATTTAGCTAGAGTTAACTCACTTTTCTGTAGAACCTTTGCATGTATCTTATTTTTATTGTTGTAAAAACAGATTTTGCATTTTAAAGTGGTGCTATTTTAGAGTCTTTTATAAACAATCAGTTTCTTTATATTAATACTGTACTTTTTATTACCCTGTAATAAGCCTAAAAATTTTTATTATTTTGATTTTGTTTAGACCTAAATTGTGTTTTTATGATTAACCCACTGACGGTTCTGCACGTAAAAAGTCGCATTTTAACCTGCAGTCTTCTCTGCATAGCAAAACCGGTTTTCCCATAATAATTGATAGGGGAACAGTGTGTAGGGGAGAAACATTCTCCCAATTTTGCCCATTTCCTTAACCGCCTGTGGGTTAATGTGGCATACTATAACAAATTATCGTTTATATTTTCTGTTCCATTCTCTTCAATTAAATAAAAGATTAGTGTCCTGAGAAGCTTTACAGGAAGCTTCTCATAACGTAAAAAGAAACTTGTTATTTTTTTTTAAAATTATTTTCTGCATTACATTAATTTTTTAATACTAAGCAAAATATAAATTAATAAAAGGTTTTAAGAAATATTTCTAAAATTGTATGAAAATGCACTAAAAATGATCTTGCTTTTTTACAATTTTTAATCTTTACAGCAAATCTGTTGAATTTTGTTCAAATAAATTCAAATTCTAACTTGATTTTTAAACACTTTTTTTTTGCTGATCATTCTGCTAGAAATGTGTTTCTTATTAACATTTTTAATTAGGTTATAATATTGTGGTTGGATTGAAGATTGCTTAAAACTCATTTATGCTACATAAAGTGTTTACAAGTTTTATCAAGTTTACTGTGACATCATCATTTCCAGATTTCTGCAACTGCTGTAAAATGCCAAGTGCCTTCTTTATGTAAATTTCTAGCTGCATTTTTGCATCTCTCATTGCGGAATTTGTTTGAAGAATTGTATGTAACTGCAACAGATAATAAAATTTAAAAAAACATGTATAGTTAAACCAAATGAAAGTTTATATTTAAATAAAGATTAATTTTAATGCTTACCATGTCAATGTCTGCATTATCAAATATCTCATTACGGCTATACACAAAAGGTAAAGTTTCTGGGTGATTTTGCAAGTGGAGAGCAATGGGAAAACTTGAAATATTTATCGTTGAACTGCGAGAGTTTTGATAATTCCAATGTTGTTGTATTTCTGCATGAGCCTAGCGAAATTCAAAAAATCAATATTTTATAATGGTGAAAAATATTCCATTTTTATTTCATTTTATAACGAGCATTGAACACCCAACCCAATTCTGAGTTTACAACTATTAATGTTCAACTCCATAGCCTTGTAATTTAAACCCAATCCAGAAGACAACAATGGCTCGACTATCAAGGAGCTTGGCCACCCCTGGAATAGTGTGTTAACTAGCATAATTGAATTTAACATTGTTTCAAGCTTGCATGGTTTATTTGCTAATCATTTATAAACAACCTATCTGGAATATTTTTTTCAAGATAACTTTGTCTTATAATAATTTTTTTTTATCCAAATGGCATGTATAGTGTAATTTGAAATGCATTTTATGTTTAAGAATAATGCATAACTCAAAAAATTATAATGAAATCGATTGTACACGGCTCAAAAATCAAGGAAATTTTATAAAATCAGTCTGGAGAAACCGTGGATTTATTTTTCCTAAGTGTGTGTGTCTGTTACATTATTATATATATGTATATATATTGATACAAGGAAAAATACTAACTTTTGTTCCTCCCAGTATTGTTGAAACCAAACTTTAGGAAACAGTTTTCATCCGGCCCGCGAAGCCTTTTTTTGTGGCCCGCGTACTAAAATATATTAGTTGTCATTTTTTTACGGGCAATTTTTCTAAAAAATCTATATGGGTTTAAAATACTTTTCTCATTAATAAAAACCTAATTTCTTCGTTTCTGTGAAATTTAACATACTAAAGGTGCAAAAAAATTTATTTCTCAGGTTTTGCATCCAAGAAAATATTTATTCAAATACAAAAATAATTGTGTATGTTGATTCATTCACNACGTAGGTGCACATTAAAGTTATTGTAGCCTGAATTTTTGAATATGTTTTTAAAAATCCACTTCTTATTTTAATTTGTAATTCAATACTTTTGTTTTATACAACTTGGTAAAAATCTGACAGTAATATTTAATGTTTCTTCAAACATGTGAGAGTCCTACATAAAATTTTGATAAAGTTGCGGCCCGCCATTTGATTTGTGTTTTTAATTGTGGCCCCCAGCCTCATGTAAGTTGGAAACCCCTGTTCTAGAATGAGCACTTTCCCTTATTTTGAAAAAATCAAAATAAATCTGAAACATGCACATATGTGCAGAATATCTTTTGAAATCAAAACAAAATGTGTTGTTTTTAATTTATCAACTTACTTTAATAGCAAATGCAAAGTTTCTTCCAAATGTAAATGCCATTTTCTGTGATGATTCATCATAACCAGCAAGCTGCAGTGTAGCCTGGCACCCAGAAGCTAAGAGTAATCCTTGAGAGTGAAGTGTGTTGTATTCCCATTCTTTTAGATTTTTCAAAAGAATGTTTGTAGTGCTCGATTGTCTTGTCTTGACTAAACATTCCAATATATCAGCTATTAGTTGCACCACCTAAACTAACATATAATTTTTAAAGTAAAATAGTTATTTTTTTTATAACGTACTGGGAGACTCCGCTCACCAGCCCCGTAGTTTATTTTCATTCATCATTGTTCTTTTCCCTTTAAAGTCGATTTTAAAAATATTTATTAAATATATAATTATTGAATTTTTATGTAAGCAAATTTTATTAACGTTAAGCGTAACGAAATGTGAGGATACCTGGGTTTGAAAAACAATCAACTGTACTTGGAAAAAAATTAAACTTAGGAATACAGTGTATGCGACAATTAGAAGTAATAAATAAGAAGTAATTTTATTTGTTATCAATATATAACTTTTTTGTCATAAATAACTTTATACATTTATACTTGGAAGTTAAGTTGAAAAACAATGTGTTAGATTACAAATTATGTAGTTAACAGAAACAAAATATATTTTCAGTTCTTTAGCAAGACCACTGATAAAGGTATTTTGATCGGTAAAGAATTAAAACTGTTCTAAACGTACAGGTGTATACAGTGCGAAGGAAAAGAAGCGTCATAATCTTAAGACCTTTTTGTCACGCAGTAATCGAATTTTTATGTGCAAGCTACAAGGAAATGCTCTACATTCCAACAAGGTTTCTATTCATTTTATATAGTTTTGAGTAGAATATTTTGTAGGAATTTTATGAGTTAAAAATATACGTTTTTACGCAATTTCCTTACGATTTTCCTACACAAGCGAGATTTAAAATAGCATTCACATGATTTAAAATCATACATAGCAATTCGCGTTAACATCCTGTTGCTTAGCAATCTGCGTACAAAATTTGATATCGACGGGAAAATTAAAGAATTTTATACATTTTTCTTAGTTGCCTTGTGATATTGAAAGGAATATGATTAAATTTCCTTTTAATAGATTATATAGAAAAAACATTTCCCCATACACCGCAGAATGTTCCCTTATGAAATTAGTAAACAATAAGAGCAGTTTTTTGTCCTTATTTTGATATAATTATATGCATGCTATTAAAGATATTAGCTTTTTAAAAGTCATTACCTTTGAATAATCTTAATTGCAGTATAAACGAAGATGAAACCATGACTAAATGTTTTGATCTTAACAATGATTTTATCGTCACCGAACATTAATTTCTTTGCATCACAGAAAATGTTTACCTTGTAATTATTCAAAACTGAAGCTTTGTAAAGAACGATTGATGTGAGATAGTTGTACACCATTTTGTCCAACTCTTTCTCGATTCCCGAATTCTTTGAAATTTTCTTTGTTAAAGAAAGCCGAAAAATTTCCTTTCTAAACACAAGATTGCAGTGGAGCAGGTTGATGATTTCTGCAAGGGTTACTTGTGAGGACCAAATGACATCTTCCAGTGATTTGCTGACAAAATTATCTGCCTCAAACGGATAACCAATGGATTTGGCGAGCATCAGAGTGACCAAGCCTGGCCATCGCAGCTCATTGATTGTATCATCTGTGTTGCTGAGAAGCTGTCTGAAATAGATAGTCATTATATTCAAACTGACAGAGAAATATAGATATCAAGCATTTTCTGGATATCTTGTAAATCTATAGGAAAGAACTCTAATACGTCATTTTATTGCTAAACTTATTTCTTGAAAACTATTGCACCTGTCTATTTTAATTCCTCCACCCAACCACACAAAAAAACCTAGGGAGCGCGTTTATTTGCAAAAACTCACCAATTCGGTTTCCCGCAACAGCCCGTTGGAGGTCATAGAAGTTAAGGCACCGCAATTTCGTGATCAACGGTAAGATTTTGTTGTGGCAATGACGTTAGCACTGCGCACAGGCCTCCAGACAAGTTGGTACCCTTCGATCTAGAGCTGCGACTGGAGATCGAATCCCAACTCTTCCCAATAACAGTTCAGTTCCATTAGAAAGCAAGGTGTCCAGCTAGTCTGGAATACTCTCCCAGTACATATCTGGTACTCTGGGGATAAGCCGAGTCGAGATTTGATCTTCAAAGGTAATAGAGGCGATCAGACCGCGTTCACTAGAGTCGTCAGTGGTCACATAAAGTGCATGAGGTATGAACAACAGCGAAAGATCTATCCCACCTGCAACAAATGTTTCTCCAGTGCAGCCAGCCTGGCCCACCTCCTTAGCTGTGTGGATTTTGAAAAGGAGGATTTTCTGCGCGGCGCGGTCTTGTTTTTTGATTTCCTGAGGGTGACTGGACTCATGGACCTGGTCTAGCTCCGCTAGACCAGTGGGGATGAAAAACAACAACAGTTTAGTGCTTTAACCACTGTGCCATCGCTGCTCATTCGAACGTAGCGAGAGTGATCCAAATATCAGCGACCTTCATGAAGAGATGACTCGACTTCTATACCGAAGAAGTCATCGTATATTTGTGCTGATTTAACTTTCATTCAGAAACATTTTTGTTGTTACCGCCCCTGGAATACCGACCCAATCCTGAGTTTACGACTATCAATGTTCAACTCCGTAACCCTGTAATTTTGAACCTTACTCAGAAAATAAGGTAACTCCTGGATCAAGCATTAGGACAAACCAGGGGGAAACTATCTCGCATTTGCTTTA